GTAATTGTGATATCGTATATATATCAATAAACAATGGCATCTAATGCCCGTTCTACTATAAAAAAAAAAAATAATAAAAATAAAATTTTTTAAAATAGTCAAATTATATTTCAAACTATATAATAATTATTAATTAATAATAGTAATAATAATGATATAATTATTATTTGAATATTTTGTTTATTATTGTTTAATAGTAATAATAATATAATTGTTATTTTATTATTTTATTAATTAATATAATATAAATATTATTTTGGTTTTGTTAAATAATAAATAAACATATAATTGGATAAATTTTTATTTATAAAATTATTTTATATTAATATTTAGTAAATATAAAAAATATATTTTAATAATTTGTAAAAAATTTAATTAATTGAAATTAAGATATAAATTAGTTATATAAGAACAGATTAATTTTGATTTTTTTGCAAAAAAAAAATTTAAGCAACTTTTTATAAAATTTTGTAATACAGTAAAATGTAAAAGACATTAAAATATGTTTTAATATATAGTTTGTAATATACAAATAACTTCTTAGATCATTTATAAAAACAAATATAAAATATAAAATATATTATAATTCTTTTAAATTATTAAATAATAAAGATATATGAATTAAAAAAACTAAAAATAAAAATAAAAATAGAAATAAAAAAACCCCTTAAGAAAAAAATGAAAGAAGTAATTGCCACAGACCTTTTCTTATGCAATTCAAAAAAAAAACAAAACTTTTCAACTTGTTATTTCCTGATTAGAATTCTATCCTAATGCACTAATCCATTTTTTTAATCCTTGAATTCTTATAAAAAAGATAAAAACAACATAAAAGAATTTTGATAGTAAAAAGTCAAAAAAAAATTAGCTTCTTTAATTTTGAAAGTTAATTACTAAAAAAAAAAGTAATGTATAGAAAAGAGTTTTTTTAAAATAATTTTGAACTTGTTAATAAATGTCCTATAATAAACAGTTTTTTGTTTTCAAAGGTTTTTATTGATTAATATTTAATAAGCATATTACAATACAATCTTTTTTAATATAAAAAAGTGATATTATTCAAAGTTATTCAACTTATTAATGACATATTCAAATATAATAAATGTGTATCAAACTTCATTAACATATTTTAGTGCATTGCTATTTTAATATGTTAATAGTGAAGAGTATAGTGTTATTTAGCATTAGAAGGAATATTTTATTCAAGTATAAACTTCCAAGAATGGTGCGATACTGGAATAAGGACAACAACGCAAGAGTGAAGTGATAGTTACGCATCAAGATCTTCGAGATTAAAATATGATTGACTAATAAATGGTCATAATTCTGCGGGGCGCAGTGTTGACGGATCAGTGCAACATTGAAATCGAAAATTTTAAAAGCACAGCCCTTCCAGCTCGAGGTGAATATTTTTTTCTAAATTTTCAAAAATTTAGCGAGTCTTTGTGATCAAGGCAGTTGTACAGGGCTGGATATTAGGCATATGGGGACTAAAATAATTTTTTCTAAACAAGGGACTTTGATATCCTATGGTAGGTGTAAAGTAATATCAGCAATAAAATCGTATAGCAAGCATCGAACTATTCATTGATAAATTTTAATTTTTTTAATGAATTCTCAAGCTAATGTTGCATTGGCATTTTATATAAATGACCAATCCAATGAAACGCAGAAAATTATCATCGAATGGAATGATGCCAGTAAAGATGACAGATCTAATGTTGAAATAAAAGTCAACGAGTAGATTTCTAATATTTTTTAATGTTAGTGTACGTAATTAAATCATTATAATTAAATTTGTTTTTATTTAGCGAAAAAATTACTGGAACGGCAAATGTGGCTCGTTATCTTGCGCGAGCTCGTCGCGATCTAGACTTGTACGGCTCCAATGCAATATCGACTACTTTGGTAATATACTATTAATTCAATTTTTACTTAAGATTTAATTAAATACTAAAATTTTTTCAAAAAAATTTAAGATAGATCAGTGGATCGACTTTGCTTTGGATAAATTGGGATCCTCGGATTTTAAAGTCATTGAAGCGGCATTAGAGGAGATTGACCACCACCTCACTCTAAGAACTTTCTTTGTCGGTTATAAGCTTACTCTAGCCGACATTGTTGTGTGGGGAACTTTAAAAAGTATAAAGATAATAACGTGATTAAGTTCCAAAAAAAAAATTACAATTAATAAATCCATGTATCTTTATTATTTTTATTATTTTTATCTTAGATTCTCCAATTTTTAATCGTCAACTTAAGACCGGGAAAGATGTAGGAGTATATTTGACTCGATGGTACAATTACATTAGTTCCTTGAACTTTATCCAAGAAGGTCTTAAATGGGTGACGAAGTCGATTGACACATCAAAAGTAAGTCACATATTTATAGACAGTTCTTAGCGTTCCAGTGCTTATTCTCTTGTTTTTTTTTCATATGAAAGCCTCGTAAAGATCAACCTAATATGAATATTGGTCTTATCGATGCGGAAATAGGAAAGGTCGTAACCAGATTTCCTCCTGAGCCTAGTGGATATCTTCATATTGGTCATGC